ATATATATATATACTTCGAGACATTCATTAAATTAACCCCACTTAAAATTATCATTGGAGATAGAAAGATAATTTTATGCCAATAAAAATATCACTTAAAATTCAAAAATTAAAATAAACTAAACCCTAGATCCTAATTTTATTGTGCATGCGTCAAATGCTTTTACAGTAAAAAATCAACAATTAATGTTCAATAAATTAATAACCTTGATTAAATAATAAAATCTTTCGGTCCCAACTTAGACCAATTTATTAAATTAATAATCTCTCTAAATGCATCATAATAAATTTTCTTCAAATCTTTTATGGCCCACGAAAATATAAATTAATAAATTAATCAAATACTAAAAAATAATAATAAATAACACATCCTAATAGAGTTTTTTGTACTTCAAGCATATGAAACATTTTGGGTGCGTTTGGAGCTCGTTCCAAAATGATTTTATTTTTTGTATGAAAATGAAAATGAAAACGTTTTCAATTTTAGACAGAAATTATTTTTAAAAATGCGTTTGGTAGTTTTATCAAGAGATTGTTTTCAGTATAAAAAAACTCATTAATGTCTCTCTCTCTCTACTCGAGAGAGGAGAAAACGAAAACAAAAAATGAAAAACGACTAAAAGTCGTTTTTCATTTCTTTCTCATTTTACACTAAATCAAAAAATCGTTTTCATTTTTATTTTTTATTTTTATTGCGCCAAACGTTTTTATTTTTTCTTTCTCAAAAAATATGAAAAATAAAAACAAGATCAATTCTAAATACAGCTTTTGTCTTCTAAATATTAAATTTGAAACATATGTGCATCAATTTTATGTCTACATGCAACTTTATTGACATTCTATGTACAATGTGCTTACACTAATTTTTGAGATTCTATGTACATGGATATAAAATTTATTACATACATGATAACTTTTGAAATTCTATATGTAAATATATTAATTTTGATTACATCTCCTATTTTTTTTTTTTTAAAATTTATAACTCGTACTTGAATCTCTGTCAAAAGAATAATACATGGATGACACAAGTTTTTAAAATATAAAACTCTTCTTAAATTAATAAATTATTCATTTATTTATAAATAAATAACCTCACTAAAATAATATTTTTTTTTTCTCTTAACCCCAATAATCTTATTTTATAGTGGTTGTACTGTAGTATTATATATAGTTCCCCTCGGCATATATAAGACGTCCAACGAAACAAAGAAATTTTGTTATTGTTTGAGTGCCATGGGTCGCCTCCTTCAACATGGCATATAGTTAGATTGCTTGGAAAAGGTTCTCAGGGAACAGTTTATTTAGCTTCTGACAAACATACAAACGATTTATTTGCTGTGAAAAGAAAAAAACTAGAAAACTCGTCTTCTCTCGTCAAAGAGAAGAGAATTCTCGAGTATTTTCGCAACTGCTCAGAAATCGTCCACTGCTATATATGGCGATGCGTATACCATTGAAGTCTACGGAATATTTAATGATAATGGAAAGCCAATTTTATATGTTCCTATATTTAGTTCTTAATTTTTTTTTATTTTTTATTATATATGGCTTTAAGAATTTCTTGACGCATTCTTGCTCTGAAAAAAGGAGTTTATATTTATATGTATGTACTTCAGGTATACATTGCAAGATTTAGGGAAATAGAAAACCATGGTATAATAACTAATTTTCTATTAATAATAATAGAATATATATATATATATATATAGATATACATTTATAAGAAATATACAGGAGGGTGCAACGGTGTAGGGGTACAATTGTCTTATGTCTAAGGTGTGGCTTGTTGTAGAAATAAAGCTACGAAGAAGAACGATGATGGCCTTATTTATTTTATTATTATTATTATTATTATTATTATTATTATATTTTTAGTGTGGTATTAGACCACGGCCGGGTTGGTATCATCTGTCCAAAAATCCTGTCTTAGGGTGTCAGGTTACTAAATCGAGGTGTGAAGAATGGGAGTTTCTCTAGTAAAATTGAAAAAAATAAAATATTAAAAATTATTTATTTTACATATTTTTTTTAATTTAATGTAATTTTAATTAAATTTAATGATTAAAAACTAATCGATAGATCGTTCTACCGAAAAACACTTTGGAAAATTTAGCAAATAAGCGGGCGTCTGTGCCTGTGTGGCAATGGGATTTGAGCTACGTTAGGTGTAACGCTGGCAAATAAGCATGTATATACGTGTGTGTGCCTATGGGATTTGAGCTGCGTTAATGTAAAACGATTGAACGTAATACAGGCTATGAGAAAATCCAGCGTTGTGATGATGATACAAGTATCCATTGATGGATAGTCATAGGACTGTATACAATGACTTGAGAATTGTACTTGAGGTATTTGTACTTAAATCTAATACTTATCTAATATTTAAATATTAGGAATAAGCTAAATTAAACATTTATAAGATAAATACAGACTAATTTATCAAATAATCTAGGATAAATTTAAAAATTCTCCCTAACCCCTTTAAACTTTAAAAAGTGGTACATACACCTCTCGAATTTTAAAACGGAAAAGTTGTTGCCCGCTAAATTTTAAGATCATTTCTAATTTACTCTTTAAACTTTAAACTCTTATTTTGCCCTAAGAAGTTTGGATTAGTCATATTTAAGTTTTTGTAAGAATTTTTGTTAAAATCAGAGCGAGAAAAAAGAGTTGAGAATGGTTATGTAGTTTTTATCTATTTTCTTTTAAGAGATATTCAAACCGAATGAATATATGATTGCATTACTTTTTTTTTATCTGTTGCATTACTTTTTTTTTTATCTGTTTTTTTATAAAAATTCTAATAAAAGGGTTAAGTGAGAACAATTTAAAATTTAACGAAAAAAATAAAAATTTTTAAAGTACAGAAAGTAAGTTGAGAATGACCCTAAAGTTGAGAACGGATTGGTGATAATAATCATAATAAAAAAAATCAAATGAACAATAGTAAGAAAGGCAGGCAACAGTACTAGATTGATAGCTAGTTTCAGTGATAAAATAACGAACATATTTGCTTAAATCACAGAAAAATGTCGACAAAAAGGATGAAAATGTTATTCTCATCTGAACCATGAACGCGCGACGAAAGATATATCGAAAACATGTTGAAGAAAATTCAAATACACGGAAACAAAAACATATTTAGGAAGAAAATGAAAGAAAAATAAAGAAGAAAATGAGAATATGAATCCCACTAGGAGAAGTTTTACAGCAAGTGTTATGTAACTAGAATTCTACCAACTAAATATCAGGAAACAAATGCGAGAACAGAAAATAATTTTAAATTTTAAAACTACATAAGCGTAATTGACAGCTCCTTAGAATTAGATTTGCAAACCAATCTGATATTAGTTCAACAAGCTTCAGGATTTGACTAGGTCTCTGCTCTTATAATTGCAAACGATTACAATATATTAATTCAACAAGCTTAAGGAATTAATTCATATACTTATCCAATTAATTGGTACTATATATACTCTTTAATCCTCTATATAAGCCACGCCCGAAACTGAATTTTTGTTTCACTTTCATTCCAAATTGTTTCTCTCTCTAGAGCGCTTATAAACCCCAGAAATCTGCAGATAGTTCTTTTTCTTTCTTCCTTTCTTTGTTTTCTCTCCAAGAAACAGAAAGAAACCTTGTTCTTGTTGTGTGAACGTCACAATGGAAAATCTACCGCTCGGCTATCGATTCGTGCCTACAGACGAGGAGCTCATAACTTATTACTTGCGCAGAAAAATCATGAATCTCCCACTTCTCTCCAACACCGTCAAAGAACTTGACCTATATCACCATACTCCCGATCAACTTCAAGGTTCGTCTTTACTCATCTCAAGATTTCTTTTATTTTTTAATTTTTCCCCTTTTCTTGTATAATTCAACGATTGTTACATATAGGGATGTATGTTCAGTACTTATTACCTTTATTTCTTTTTTGCCTTTTATGTCTTCAATAATCAACTATAAACGCCTTGTCAGTTAAATACCTATAAACGACGTGCCTTTTTTTTTTTTTTTTTTTTCCTTTTATTTTTGACATGTCAAAACTCTGTTACTACATATTGGATGGGTTATTAAAAAAAAGAATCTATGTATGTTTCTCGTATTATTCCAAAAGCAATCAAATTAAGCAGTACAAAAACGACACAATGCAGATAATGGTTACGTATTTTCCAAAAAAGAAACAATTGAAAATTTCTAATTTACTAGTACATAACCTCAGATTTTGTATATGCGTGTGGTGTTAAACGAAATTCAAAAGATGATATTGAATTTTTCTCTACATATGCAGGTAAATATGGAGCACACCGAGAGAATGAGATGTATTTTTTTACGAAACGAACGCTCAACACTCCTACTGCAACTCGGCCAAGCCGTACCATAACCAACGTGGATCCAAACGGTACCATAATCAATGTGGGATTTTGGAAATGTAGTACTAAAAAGAAAGCCATACAAAATGCCGACAAAGAAGTAATCGGATACAAGATGTTATTCAACCACTTTGTTGCTAAAGGCAACATGACCACTTGGCTTATGTATGAATATACTACTCTATCCGGCTCCAGAATGGTATATTTATTTTGCTTCTTTTTCATTCAAACTAAGCTAGTTTTTACTTTATTCAAATTTCAATGTTTTCATAATTTTGTTCTTACTTCTCTCTAGGCACATTATCTTAAACAAATTGTTTTAGCTCGAATGGTAATTAACTCGTACATATTTCCGCAGATGGATGAATTCGTATTGTGCAAGATATACAATAAGAATAATGAACAAAAGCACAAACTTAACGCACAACGGGAAAAGCCTCAAAGAAGTATGGAGCCACAAGCACATCAAGTGGCCGAACATGTCGAAATCGCCAGGATTAATTATACAGAGGAGCCTAATGTATGCGATTATCGACCTCCGGAGGAACAAGCACCGACTTACCAGTACTGCAACTCGGATATTGCTGATGCGCCTATGAATGCTGCCGATCCATGTAATCAACAATACTTGACGCCGTTTGATGACAATTTTGATCTATTTATACAATCCTTGGAGGCAGAAATTCCAACTCATGATGATCTTCAGTTTGATGCTGATCTTCATCGTCATAAGATTAGAAGATTGTCATCATGCTGATATTTTGAAAGATTTCCTCTGTTCCTTCTGAACAGAGGTATTGTTTGAGTGGATTGTATCATGTACTTCTTTCTCCGGCCAAATAATTTTCATGATCTTTTTGTTGTTTCTGTAGGTATTGTTTCACTTAATATCGTCTTTAATACTTATTGTCGTTTTTTAAGTTATTTATTTATTTATTTTTTTAAAACAAAACAATAAGAAGTCTAGACTGAAGAAGTGGTTAATAAAACAAGTAATCTAGGGAAGAGGGCAAACGACAATAAATCGCAACTTGTAAAATAGATGAGTCCTCTGCTTCTTACAATCCAGTATCTATGTAGTAGTGGTACACAAATCAACAACATAATTTTGAACACTCAATGAACAAACTTTCTCATTCTCTATCTCTAATCATATCACGGTGAAACTTTGATACACAAGATCGCCTGTGACATATTGAGACCGCTTTCAGTCAAAGTCAACCTCCAATTTGTTGGAATCCATGCTTTTTCATCAACAGTTTTGTTTTTTTGGGCAACAATCATTGTTGATGCCAAATAAGTTGTAAAGAAATCGGCACAGACATGATTTCACACATTGTATCCGATCAATTGACAAATCAGGTCTAATTCATAGAGAACAAGAGAAACACCTAAGATATGCCTGAACTAATCCAATAATAAAAACGGCTACAAATAGCCTTTGTATTTTAAGCCTCCTAATGATCATTTTTGAGCATCAAAGTTTATAACATCAACAAATAGAATGGTCTTTTTTCCATTATTTACAGGTGGTACTATTTGGAGATCAAGCATAGAAATTTATTGATTTAATTTGGTCATACTGTGATATTACTATGAATATAGTATTTGACGATATACACATATATAAAGGACATAAAGAAAACAAAGTACTTCTGAGAAAAAAATTTTAAAAAAGAATATTTTTTTAGATCATATAGCTCATTCACATTATAATTATTGCGCCAGTCAAAATAAACATGATTTCAAACATTAATGCGTTCTGTATATAAAAACATCAAAGCTAATTATTCATAAAGCTGATGATCACGTAGGAGTCAAGAAGCACCATACTTGCATCAACAGATACAACTTACCATAGTGAAAGAACATAACTTTTAATATGCGTAAAAGAATGAGCAGTAGAATTCAATCCATTTTTTCCATCCTGATGTCGTCTTTTGAGTTCACTGTCGTTTTATGATGATGTTGCCCTTTTTTCTCGTTGTTCTTAAATTTGACGTCGTTTCTTCAATTTACTGTCATCCTCTTATATGTTGTATTGTTTCTCCTGGCGATTTATCCTCCTCTCTCTGCCTCACGATCTCTTTGGCGTTTGGTGGCCTATGAGAAAGATTTAAAGGCAGCCAACGGTTCAAAAAAAATCAGAGAGTTTTTATTTTTATTTGTATGAGATGCTGGAGAAAGAGTGGATATCCTCAAGCAAACCGAGGATTTTTTTTTTTTTTTCTACCAAATAAAAAAAAAAAAGTCCTTAGTTTGCTGAGGGTCTCCAACTCTCTCTTCCTCCTCTCCGTTTTTGTGTTTACTGAAGATGGCTTCGGAGAGAATTGCATGACATTGTATACGTGTTACATATTTTCTTGTATTCTTTTCTCAGAAAACATATTTTCTTTGATTTTGGGAGACGTGACTCAGTCCTTTTGTTGTTGTTGTTGTTGTTTTTTTATTTTTTTATTTTTTCAAGACATTTACCATCCGAAAACAAGTTTTGGGGCAAAGATGCACTTCTTCTTATTATTTTTTCTATGCAGCTCTGTGTCTTTTATGAAGTTCAGTACCTTTAGAGCTTGTCTGTTTAAATATCTATCTCTCATATCTCATATATATAGATAAGAGTCTCGAGATAATTTTGATATTGATACTGGTGATATAGAAGAAGCGTAATAAAATTAAGGAAAATAATAACTGTTTCTAAGATCCATTAATTTACTTAAAAAAATAATATATGAATTTAATAATTATGGTAATCCACATGAATACTTAACAAGTTCCACCTGAGTAGAATAACACAAAAACAATTAACACTTGGACGTATGAATTACCCAAGAGAGGGACTGAGAGCGAAGAGATTTTGCCATGTAGGATCTAGTTATGGAGATCCAACATCATGATCTACAATTCTAAAAATTACCCCTAAGAATAGAAATAAAAAATTAATCTCAATAATATTAGTATTAGTGACTACCTATTTAGTCATTTAATGTATATAGCTCTCTTTCTACAGACTGACTATAGTGTACTTTTTTACAACTAACAATCAGACGTTAAAGGTCTGAATTTTTTACGACTCCACATTATTTAGTCGCAAAAAACTTAACATTCAATGACTAAGGTGCAACTAAATTTTTTTAGTCACGGATGATTTTCTATGATTATTTTTGAACTTTTCATAACTAAATTTTTAATCACAGAAGGTGATTTTTCTTGCAGTCTTTAATCCTCTATATAAACCGCATAAACCGATTTTCTCCTTTCACTTTCATTCCAAACTGTTTCTCTCTCTAGAGCGCTTATTCACAGTACTCTTTTTCTTTCTTTTCTCTCCAAGATTCACAAACCAGAAAAATAAAAATAAGAAGCTCATCTAGGAGATCTTCACAGAAAAAAAAAAAAAAAAAAAAAAAAAAAAAAAAAAAAAAAAAAAAAGGTATCCTGTGCACGACCACCGCCCGTAGAGCTCCATCATGCATGAGAGCAACCGCAACGGTGACAAGTGTCCCCTCTGCGGAAGAGATCTCAACGGATCTCATTTGAGTCGCGGCCACGACAGGAGAGATCTTCCATCACACGGAGGAGATGGAGAAAATTACATGACTAATTATTGATTTGGATGATGATTTGCTCTTTTTTTTTTTTTAATAAAAAAGGGGGTAAAATATTGATAATAAAGAAACTTGACACATTCCAAGTAAATGGAATTGCTTGTGGTTTGAGTGTATTATATATTACATGACTAATTAAAGAAACTTGACACATTCCTACCTACCTGAAGCCTATTACGTTCCCTGCTTCACATATTTTGAAAAAAGGTAATCGTTTCAGCGACATGGTGGTTTCCTGGTGGCTTACAGTTTCTTGTTTCTGTGCGCAATATCGTTGGATTATGCTTAGATCCACATGTAAGTATTGCTCAGATGTTTTAGAAAACACTTTAATTTGACCAGAATAATTTATTTAAACTACTGAATACATCGAAACCTAATAATGGCATATTCAAATAAAAAAAATGTTTGCCTCAAAATAAATATAAGTTGAGTACGTAATAGAAATTCGCATAAAGATAAGTGTACGAATGCATATGATTTAATTAAACGAGTGACTGAAATGTTAATGGCATTCTGAACATGTTCGAACGTTGGGGACAATTTCACGCGGTAGGCAACATTCTCAATTCTCTCATTACGTTATTCAATTCCTCGTATTCTTTCAAAAAAAAAAAAAACAAAACACGTCTTTATAATTATTGTTCGAGATATTTATCTCTCTAATCCTAAACTTTCGTGCCTTTGGTCTTCAAATTTTTTCATGAAGTTTAACAGCTGGACAAATGAAAGGATTAACGGACACAATAAATTTGTTATTATAGTTTGGGAATCCAGTTCTCAAGATCTGAAATACAAAATGGTTTCAAATTTTGGGACCAATTAAAGCAAGATTCTATCCATTACTACAGCAATAAAAGATGCAAGATGTTTCAATTGAGACACATGCCATCTATGGTAACGTTATTCACGCTGATACCAGCCAGAAAAGTTGATTTTATATTAAAATGTATTTTTAGTCGATTCAAAAAACAAAGTTATTTCTTTAGAATTTTCAGATCAAACAAAGCTTGCGTGCACATTGCTTTAATTTTATAAACAGGTTAATTAATAAAAAAGAAAGACAAAAAAAAAGGGCCTATTAAAGATGGTATAATAAGAATCCAACTCATCAGAGCACAAATGGACTAATAAATTCCAATCGTACAAGACCAGAAAATCGTAGAATCCCCTTTGAACGAAAAGCAAATCCTTGGATAAGCATCTAAATAACTTTACAGCGCCCACAACAACTTTTCTTTTGTTTGTAGTTCATGAATAAGTTGTTGGAAAAATATTGTTAGAGAAAAAAAAAAAACATAAAATAGAAAATACAGATAAATGGATTGTCTTAATCAATGCACATTATTAGTGAAACACTTTCTTACAACGTTTTTCACGGCAAAACTTTTGTTTTCATATATTAAGTAAGGCAAAACTTAGTAGGAACTTTAATTTTTTTTTTTTTTTTTGCGGGTAGGTATTACTATTTTAATTTTAAATTTACTTTTTAATGTTGATTTATGAGTGACAGCAGTTTTACATCGCGCACTTTAAGTTTTTAGCGTGTATACTCACAAATCAGTCTGTTAAAAAGTTGATTCGATAATTAAAAGAGTAGTACCTATTTTTAGAGTAAAAATGCATTTTCTGCTGTAAAAGTTGCAAATAATATTAATGGGAGTTTTCTCGTAAGTCTAAAAAAAATGAATAACAAGTAGTTTTATATTTTCAGTCGTTAAATATGTATCAAAAATTATTTATTATATATATCTTTTTAATTTGACGTTAATTATTTGATTAAATTTAACGATAAAAAAATAAACTCAATTAGTGAGGAGGTCCTATTTGAGAAACTCCAATACTATATTGGGAAACTTTTAGAACAATACTAGTACTGATACTTGATGCGCTCCATGGACCCAGGAAAATAATATAACTCTCAAGACACTAATGGGAGACAAAAGCATCATTGAAACTTTTACGCATGTCGACGTCACATCCTATATATAATTGAGGGAGTCCTACAAAAACCACCATTATTGGCTGTTATTTTATGGTGTTATGTGGATTTCAATGTTCTCTATTTAATTTGCGTTTATTTGTACCTTCTTTGAACCACATATATATATATATATATATATATATAGGTAGTTATAATTTAATTTGCCAGAGTGCACTAAAAGTACTAAGAATATGGCTTGCAATAGTTCTAGCGAGAAGCTGAAAAAAGAACTGTTTGAGCACATAAGGAAGGGAGAATGGAATCAAGTTGTGGAAGTGCATGAGAGAGATCGAGAAGCTTTCACGACGAGGATCGCCAGCTACACCGGCGACACGGCGTTTCTCCTGGCGATCTCCGAAGGGAAAGAAGGAATTGTGGAAAAACTGGTGGCACTGATCAACAACTGGGACAAGATTACTCCTTCTAAAGCAAAAGAAATAGTGGGATTCCAGAATGAGAAAGGCCGAACATCTCTCCACGCGGCCGCAGGCACCGGGAGCAAGACTCTGTGCGAACTCATCGCCCGGGTCGACCCCTCGCTGGTCGTTGCTCGTGACTATAAGGGAGAGTCACCTGTCTTTAGGGCGGTTCGCTACGGCCGGATGCAGGTTTTCCTTTTCTTGCACGACCTAGCGCTTGCCCATCGTGCCCATCGTGCTGATCGTGCTCACACCAGCTTATCAAGCATAAGATATTGCTGGAATGATGATGATCAAACCATCCTTCACAATGCAATTATCAGGGAAAACTTTGGTGAGTAGGGCATAAATCAATTGATCATTTTGTGAGATTGGTAAATATCATATTGAAACTTCATGGAAAAATTTTATTGAAAGAAAATAAAACTGAGGACCCAACATGATTTTAGTAAAGTTGTATTTGTGTGGCGTGAAATTAAAGTTAGGAATTATTTATGGTTTTTACACCTACATATAGGTTTATACATTTTTAGCATATGCGAGTTCTTTTTTGAGGATGCATATGCTTATTCCTATATGCCAAGCATTTTAACCAATTTTTCATTCAAAAATCTGCTATATATGTACATCTGTACAGCTCTTTATACAAATGATCACTTTGTATTCTTCCTAAACTATAAGTTCATTGTTATTGTTCTCATATTATTAATTCTTTATTAAGATCATTAATATGATATATTATTCAAATATTTATAATTTACCAAATGAAGATACTAATAATTAATTATATAAATTGTTATTCAAATTCTTAGATCAATCTTTAAAAAAAAAAAATTGATGAAAAGAAAACGACTGAGACTAATAAATAGATCTAGGCACCGCCCAATTAAATTGGCACACCCACGCTATTATCTTTAGAATTCTCATACTACTGATCATATTAATTAAAAGTACTATTTTTCTACTATTTTTATTTTTATTTTTATTTTTATTTTTATTTTAGTTTTGTTGAAAAATTCTGTTTTAGACAAGTTTCACACTATACCATCGACCACATAATTTATCCCACGTATACACACGGCGCAACTGTAGTCTTGCAGTGTGCAAAACTGTATGACCAAGTGGGTTCCACTCCACACCCTAACCTTTCACGTGATGGCATTATAATTATTAAAATGATAATAACAAGTGTGTGTATATGTATATATGATTATAATAATTATATTGTAATCATAATCTTAGTTATCATTAAAAAGTGGAAACGAAGTGGGTTCACTGTAGCTACCATGAAGTGATTGATCTAACATCATTGGTCATATGACATATATATACCATTTTCTTTCCAGCATTTTATTGTCACGTTACGCATAGCGAACACAGTAATAAAAATGTAATTAGATTATAAAGTCCATGAAAAACACAAACATTTATTTAAAAAGAAAGAAAGAAAGAAAAAGTTTGCAAGATGTGAAAACAGCTTAGAATTAAAGTCAATTAACGCACGCTATTCTTTTTTTATGTGGTGATCACAGATTTGGCATTTCAAATAATTCACTTGTACAAAGAGCTTGTTAACCTTGTTGATAAAGATGGGGAGTCTCCTCTCCATTGCTTGGCAAGGAAACCTGCTGCCTTTGAAAGTGGTAGCAGCCTCCGTGGACGGAACAGAATCATCTACGACTGTAAGTATTTTTTTTTTTATACATTGTGGGGCTTATGATTTCCATAATTTACTAACAAAAAACTAATTCTCTAAGATTCGAACCTTAATAGTATGTAGTTGTAGTTGTAGTAAATTATATTCTTAATTTTAGTATTTGTCTTTGAAATCATTCAACAGTCTAATGGCTCGTTTGTGTCATAAGTTTGAATCTCTCATAAAAATTTAAATTTGTGTTCCAAAAACCTAATAGAAAATTGGTTTCAAGTAAACAATAACACATGGTCAGTAAAATTGAACAATAACATATATATTAATAGAGGTAACCTGCAGCATATAATATCAATGAACATTAGTCCTTTTAATTTTGTAAGGTTTGATACACAACTACAGACTATATATGTGAGCGAAAATGCTTACAGGAAATTGATTATGTATTCAAAAACAATAACATATGTATTCAAAAACAATAACATATATATTTACCGAACAAGCCTTATACCCTTCATTCTTCTATAAGATGGCAAATTATGTATTCAAAAACTGTTCATTGTACTACTTATTTGTTTTATTTCCACCATATACGTATTGATGGATTTAAATGTTACTTGAAATTAAGGTTTATCCATAGAAAATCTCGAGACTAAAGTACAAGAAAAATCGCATCCAAAATTGGGACTCGAAGTTAAGAGGAATCCAAGTATTCCTCCAGGAAACAAGCAGACCTTTCGCCATTTCATTCGATTCTTGTGGACGAATGCTGTTCTAGCTGGTGGTATGTTCTCTTTCCCCTTTGGTGATACATATACAATTTTCATTTACGGATATGTGCATGCATAATGACATTATTTTGTATCTGCATGCATGCTCAAATGTTCTAATTAACGTACGTCCAATATTTCTTATGAAGCCGCAGGATCTCATCGTGGTAAAAAAGAAAGTGAAAATGTCGATATAGAGAGCCACCATGGACATAAAACCGATCAGACAGGTGATGATCAGAACCTTTTGTTTCCCTATAACTTTTTCTTTTTAAATACCTTTTTCGGTTTAGTTTGGCATAATTAGCGCATCTTTTAGAGTAAACAATGGTGCTAATTACATTACTCTCCTATCTTTATCACTACTACTCACGTGTATATTAGCCACCGAGTAATACTGCTACAAATACCAACTCTAGTCCCAACTTTTGTACCAACTCGGTAGATATGCAACCTCTTATTATTAATTGATGTGTTAGTCTTTTAAATACTAGCACTCTTGTATATTTGCTACTAGTATGCTTCTTTTTAACCCTCATTATTTGATTCAACTTAGGCCGAAATACTTCTCAGGAGAATCCATCCGTCTCGCAGAAAAGTTACTTCATCGAGCATGTATCGAGGGCAATACCGGTCATTCTAGGATACGGTTAGTACAATAATATTTGGCATATGAAGAATAATATTATATACACGTTACGTTTGTTTAATGTTTTTTTCCCTGTTAATGTATTGAAGGAGATATGAGTGTGATAAAGAAGATAAAGCAAGAGAAAGAGAAGCATGTATGGGCGAGTCGGGTCTTGGATGCACTCCTAGAAGTTGCCACTCTCTATGATGGCAAAAAAGCTCTTAGAGTCAGTGAACTAAATGAGAAACAGATGTCTGAAAAAATTCCAGGTGAAGATTCAAACGATCAAGATTCAAAGGAAAAGGTTGAAGAAGATATCTCCCAGCAGCCAATGGGAAGTACTAGTAATATTCCCGGTATTTTCTCTGATGATTGCTCAAAAGTTATAGATGCATGGTAAAGTAATTAAGAATGGAAACACATGCATGGTACTATAATAAGCTTTATTTCTAGTACTAATTGTAATATTATAAAAGAAAAATCTTATCCTTGCCAATCTTTTATTGTTGGAGAAGTTAGGCCGATTATTCTTTTTTTTTTTTTTCCTTGATTGATCTCTATAACTCTAAGAGCTGGTCTGGTGGGAGGGAAAACTAGAAAGAGGGAAAGGGGTAATTGATCGAAGGATTTTGGGATAAATGGTTACAGGTTATTTGGTAAGAAAGAAAAGACGAGAGAATGGATGCGATGATCAGATATTTCTCATATCCTTAAAAGAATCCGATCAATTGTAATATATTCTAATATGGAGGGATTAGAACATTGTATACGTTCTTTCTATGTATTTTCTTTTCCACTTTTTTAATATGACCTAAAAATAGTTGAAGCCTATCGATGACTGACCGACTGTATGCAAAATATCAGCTGAGACTACAAAGAAGAAAGAAGAACCTGAGAAGGAAACAGCCATATTACTTGCCGCGAAATACGGTGTCGCGGAAATAATAGAGAAAATCCTTGACCATTTTCCAATGGCCATCTACGACAAGGACAAGGACAGCAAGAATATAGTGCTAATAGTATTGGAGAATAGGCATTTAAAAGTACTTAAGTTCTTGCTAGACAAGTACCGCGATTGCGATCACATCGCGTATCAAAAAGTGGATGAAGAAGGAAACACTGCATTGCACTATGCCGCAATGTATGATGAAAAAAGTGTGAGGTCGTGGCCTGTTCCCGGTGCTGCGCTGCAAATGCAATGGGAGATCAAATGGCATGAGGTAATTTGAGAATAAATATTGTTCAGTATCCTAACTAACTTATACTTTTATCTGATTGTTGTACTAATAACATGTTATTATAATTAGTGAAAGTTAACTAATTAATTAATCGTTTATATTATATACATTATATATACACGTATAGTTTCCTTAGTAGGTGCCAATCAAAATTTACGATAAATTAGAGTTTGACTGGATTCTTAACTTCTTTATTTATTTTTTTTATTTGGTTTGTTTGTTTGACTGGATTCTTAACTTCTTTATTTTTTATTTTTTTTGATAAATTAGAGTGGAGGATTGAACATTGAGTTGCTTAATGGGTGACAATGTAATATTTGTGATGTTTGTCATTGTATTTGCTCAATATATATTCTAAATCCATTTTTTGAATGCAGTTTGTGGAGGAGGTCATGCCACCACGTCTTTCAAGAACCAATAAGGAAGGCCAGACTCCAAAAGAATTGTTCTCCCACACCCATAAGGGCCTCGTCAAAAACGGTGGTGATTGGCTAATGAGCACAGCGACGTCCTGCTCCGTCGTGGCCACCCTTATCGCCACCGTCGCTTTTGCCAGCTCCACCACCGCTCCCGGCGGCACTGAGAGCGACGGGAAGCATAAAGTCAAAAGAAATCTGACGTTTGAACTGTTTGCCATCTCGTCTTTGGTTTCCCTCTGTTTCTCAGTCACTTCCCTGGTCATGTTTCTCGCCATTCTTACGTCGCGCCACCAAGAGAAGGATTTCAGCAAAGAACTGCCGAGGAAGATATTATTCGGGTTGACATCGCTTTTCCTGTCTATAGCCTCAGTTCTCGTTACTTTTTGCGCCGGTCACTTTCTCATCTTCAAAGACAATTTCAAGTACGCTGTTTTTCCTGTCTATGCTGTGACGCTCTTACCGTTATGCCTTTTTGCTGTCGCGCAGTTTCCGTTGTATTTTGATCTTCTGCTGGCTACCTTTTGGAATCCATTTAATCATGATTGATTGCTACAAAATAGAAATTTCAAGCCAAGTCTTTTGCGTTACGCTATTGTAGTATTCCATATTTTGGTCTGCATTGGTGTTTAAATCTTCATACATTGTGTGCTTGATATTGTATTAATTAAGATGTTATGTTAATCGTATTTGGTGTGTGATTTTGTATTGTATCAAGATGCTTGTGCCCGATCCATTTGATTTATATATTTTAATTTACTGGCTTGTATTAAACATTCAGTTTTAAAACTTTGATAATTAAGTGACTTTTTTCTCAACATTATGGTAAAATATAAAATTGATTGAATTTGATATATAATATTAGGAGAATAAAAACGTATGTTTGCAGAATCAGGAAAGGCATGTGCAGCGTCATCTGAATTGACTTGATTTATTGGATAAAAGGATGCTAATAAACTCGAATAATTTAGGAGCTTTAATCGAAAGACGACCGTTAAACCAAAAAGATTTAAGAATCGAAAGATCCTTCAACGAATATTAAACAATATGTAACCATTATCCAGATAATCTGATTCTTGCATGCAAGACTAAATCTAAGAGTTAGCCACTGGAAAATGGATAGTTTTTTTATATAAAAAAATGTATGAAATTCCAATTTTCCAAATGACCTAGTGAGAATAGTGTTGGAGCGATTCCAACACAGATCTACGAAATCAATGAACACAACAACAGAGAACACAATCTTACACGGTTGTTTGTTTGACCGAAGTTCGGGAACCTTTGAGATTTCCCTACATTCCCGTTGAGCTCGTCCGCAGGCAAGCTTTTTCCACTAAATTAAGAAAGCAATTACACCCTCAATACTCACGATTACAGAGATTCCCAAAACCATAGAAGAACTCACACCCCGAGAAGAGATCACTCACACCCGAACAAGAAGAATATCCAGTGGAGAAGAAACCCTAAGTTTTTCCCAGATTCTCTCGTTCCCAAAACTGTTGGTTTTTCTCTCTACACAACCGGGAGTTTCTCTCTCTCTATACAATCTCTCTCTCTACAATACAGAATATGAGATGAAGTCTCTCGACCCCTTTTTGCCAAAGGAATATATCTAATTAGCTTTACACGTGTCAAGCCCTTGTAAGCTCATCTTAACCTTGAGTCGGTTTAATATTGCTTCCCAACCAAAACGACAAGCTCCTTGAACCAAATGACAAGCTCCTGGTGGATGTGCTTCCTTGATGAGTGTCGTTTCCTAAGATTACTCTCACAAATAGTTTGTTCGATTTAGTAGCTTTCTTTATATATATATATATATTATTTTATTTTATTTTTAATAAATTTACGTGCAGAGTTTGCTTAGGTGCTTCACTATTTAAAAATAATAATAATAAAAATCAAATATGCTGTTAAATTAAACTAAAAATGCTCTTCTATATGAGAAATGTTAAATCATAATTACCTAAACCAGCCTCTGCCAATAGGTTTGCAAGTAAATTAGTAAACAATTATATTTTATGTTTGATCGCCTCTGTGTTTACCGTAACCACAAAGATAGGATGCCGATGGCAGGGCTAGCGACTCGAGTAAAGTCATATTAACTACTCTACACATATATTTGTGGCTAACACAAGGACATATATAAATAGGTCTTTTCTCGGTCCTGGACGGTCTCTCCAATATAATATGTTTAAGTAAGACACATAACATGCCAGTTATTTAATACATGTTATTTCCATTTAGAATAAATGGTGTTATCCGCACTATTAATATTACAAGATATTGAATGAGTGTATTACGTATAATGAGATTATGTAGAATATAGACACAGACACAATATGAATTTATGATAATTTTCGTTAAGTATAGAGATTCTAATTGAGTCTACCAATGGTCATATATAGAATGATCTTAATCATGAGTTATTACCAGAATCCTATTTATGAATTTGTGTATTTTGATTTATTCGGTACGAATTCTGAGATACTGAATCCTATTTCTTATATTGTGGAGACATGATGAAGTAAGTAGCCGGGAATGTTATTATACAAGATGGAATCCATTCCTTCTTGAGAAAGAAGTAGATAAATAATTCTCTTGAGGGTTGTTTCGGTACTTTAACTAGTAGGAACTCTGATTCATGAATTTGTTTTATGAATCACTGTCCATTAGAGAATCAATACTACTCAAGGATAAAGATGTAATTAGAAAGGTTAACGGATTTTACATAGCTCTAATTATGAATTATTTATGGAGGATTGATATATATTTAATGACCATATAAAATGGACACTTTACAACTTAGAGGTAAATTTATGTCTATAATTACGAGGGTGCAATTCCAAGTTTATAGTAGAGTAATTTTTAAAATTAATAGAATTAATTAATTAATTAAAGAGTTAAATTAATTATTAATTTTATTAGAGCTCGTAATTATAGGTCTACGAGTCATTGCGTCGTCTTTGTAATCCTACAAGACACTAAAAGCAAAATGAGAATTTTAGAATTATAGAATTCTAAAATAAAAGGCTCAATGATAATTAATTGAGAATTAATTATAAATTAAATAATGTGATTATTTAAGTTTTAAATTTGAATTTTTGAACAAACATGTGAAGGTGTTCACATAGTGTGAACACCATACAGAGTGTGAATCCCTCTGGGATTCAGTTGCTTGCTCTCCAAGTTATCCAATTGTCCAATTTGAAATTTAAATTGATGTAAGTTTAACTTAAATTGGAATTTAAATTTAAGTTAAAATTAGACTGCAAGATAAATTTAGAATTTTACCCTATTCTTTTCCTATAGTATACGCCTACCACAGGGAGAAATTGCCCTATGGTGACCGGCCAACATGTGGATAAGGGAGAGTGGATTTTGTTTCAAAAATCAAATTAGGAATTGGAGATAATTAAGCTTTATCTTGAAGATAGGATTAGACCTCTTTTGTGAGTTTGACTACTACTCTAAATAGGAGATTACAGAAAATTAGAGAACACAATTTTTTTACTCTCTCCTAGCATTAGTGGCCGGTTTCTATAGAGTGTGGGAAGAAAAATTTTCTCTAAAAATTCAGCATCGTGCATGTGTTGGTGTTTGTGAAAAACCTTGAGTGTTTATTAGCAAATCACGTTTTGTTTCAAGTGTGTCCACACACACGTCTTTGTAGATTTTAGGAATTAACGAGAAATATTAAGGTGTTCTAAACTAGCTTGGAGCAAGGAACGTTCGAAATCAAAGAAATCAAGTTATCGTCCTAATTGTCTACTAGGTAAATAAATTAATTTGATTAATTTAGTTGTGTATAAATTAATGTAATCTATAGAGTATTTTAAAGTTTTATGAAAATTTTTGTTATACACGATTCGCTAAAAATCTGCTTCTGCATCCGAAATCGTTTCAAAAACCAACAGATGCTTCGTTCATTTCGCTTGTTCAAGTTAAGAACTTGAGTTAAAAAGTGAACTTAATTGAGAGAAAACTCTGTAGTAGAAAAAATAAAATTTAAATTTTTATAAAAAAAAAACACTATAACAAAAATTTAAGTTATGTTATGAACTAACGAAACGACTTAAATTTTGGTAATAGTACACTTTCAATGTTAATGTTACTTCAATGATTGCTTGTGTGTAAATAAAATGATTCTCTAAAAGTTTCTTTCTGGCTGGTGAATTCATCAGTCAAACTTGTGAATGAGATTCGACCTGACAGCTGCAAAACGTCGAAATGGACTTAACGAGATTGCAGAAACGTAGCTAACACATTCAAAACACGTAAAGAAAATTTTTTTTCTTCTCTGCAGGAGTAGTCTAAATTATACATATATATGGTTGGAAAGATGAGTAAGATTATAATTGGAATAATGCTTACAAATGCGACAAAACCAAAAAGATTATTGTACGATCCATATGCATAGCTTTTTGTTGAATACATAATGTTAGGGCTCCACCCTACGCTTTACCTTTTGAAGGAAATTTAAACCCCAACAACATTAATCTTTGGAATTGATTCCAGCAAAAAATTAAAATAAAAATAATTGGAATTTGAATTTTCAAACTAACATAAATTCTACCTAACTCGTTAATAATAAAAAGTTGATTATCTAAATTTTTTTATTGCTTCTTTGACAAGATGAATGCAACCATCGTACAAATAAATCCATTTTCTAATTTTTACCAAAACAGTGGTTTCCATTTGTTAGTGAAAGTTTATAGTTTTATATACATGTGTTATTAAGAAAATGTTATTAAGAAAATAGAGAAAGAAAGCCCCATAAAGTTTAGAAAAATAGTACTATGTTTTCATGTAATGCTTTTGGAAAAAGGTCGATAATATTTATCAAATGTCCATAATGGAAAAACAGTGAGTGAAAGAGACATCATGCAAGCATAAAGATTTTCTTATTCGAAAAAGGACTTTTGGATAAGGATCATTTCCAAAAGAAAAGATTTTTAACTCTCTAATTGAACTTTCTATCAAGTCGATTTTGGGTCTATTATGGAGAACATTTTGGAATCCAACTCATCTTAGCATTTTGGAACGATAAACTTATTGATCAGCCAATTTTGCGTCCAACAAGAAATTCGCCATTCGAATCATAAGATTTGGTTTGAATTATGTCGTTTCTTCCAAAAAAAAGAAAAAAAAAAAGAGAGATACATATATGTGGTGGCCATTGAAATTGTGCCCCGCCGAATGTCTTTCCTGCTGCTCTCCCTATCTTTTTATAAACAGTCTATTCCCTATACGTTTCTTTTACCAATAATCCTTAAATTCTCAAATAAACTAATAGTAATTTAGTTCATAACTCTCGTTTAAATTTTTGAGAAATATGCAGATTCACTTGTTTTCAAAGGGTAATATAGGAAATTTAGATAAAAAATTAATTTTAACTTAAAATAGACGATATTCCCAAGTAATTATTCTTCAATATGATCACCCCAAATGAAGCAACAACGGCCAACATATCTTCTCCTCCACAGCCATCCGCGCGCGGGTTCATGAAGTCCTTGAAGCAGTGGCATAGAAACATTTTGAATATTATTTTTCTGTGTTCTCTTTGTCATATGCTTCCGCTCTACGTCAATTGATCATATCAAAGCTTTGTTACGCTCCTACAAACATGAAGCCGATACTACAAAAGAATTGACAATTAATGTCTCTAATTAGATGACGATTTTACAAGAAATCACGGTCTAAT